ATTTTCTGTTTTCAAAAATGAAAACAGAAAACGCAAACACAAACCAACTGCCCCCTAAGACACTCCCTTGATTTCTATTCCTTAATTTCATAAGACTAGGTAGTTTTCCTCTTGTTGAAGTAGAATCATTTTGTAGGCGAGTTAGCATGTTTGGAGAATTTATAAACTATTTTAATTATAGATAGATAGCTATGAATACTTATGGATTATTCGAAATGCGTTTATAAAAATGATTTGATTGATTATAAACAATTTAGCCTTTGTTTGGTTCCCATTATTTCATATATTTTTCACCCTTTTATTTTTAAAAATACATTATCCAATAAAAAAAATATTATATGCAAACTGAAAATTTTTCCTTATTTTTTAAGCACATATTCTCCATCAACACATTATTCCAAAGTGCATTTTGAACCAGAGGGGGAAGGGGGAGCTCAAAAAGGCTTTTAAAACATTAGTTCTTCCCAAGTTGCCATAATTACTAATCTTACAAGCACATCAATTAGAACTCGTTAATAGAATTGGCTTGGAAGAAAATCATGTTCAGGTGCTTATAAGTTCCCAAGTTAAACCCAAACAAGACGACTTGAAGTTAACTATCCATGCATAACCCGTTCCTTCAGCTAAATCGAGCTTCCATGCAAACTGAATATGACTTAATAATATAATAAACGAGATTTTAATGCCATCCATCCTTCCAACCAAAGATGCCATGAGAGTTTCTTCGATAACTAATTACTTCCATGAGAATGAACAGATGATACAGATCTTGCTGGTACCGAAGCTGTGGGACTACCATCGCGCTCTGCATTTCTGAAGTTAACATCTTATCGCTAAAAGGGGGCCAAAAACCCACACAATTAATTGCAAGATACAATCGAGCTTAAAACAGAAATTAAACTTACAGAAAATAAAGAACACAACAAGATTTTTCGGCTGAAGCCCCAGAGGTTTAATGACAAGCACCTAATCCCCTGTTGAGCATCCAATCGAAGTGGATAGTGCTCGGTTGCACTAAAGCCCCAAAAATAGGCAATCGAAGGTTATAAAGTTCAATTACTATAAGAATACACATGAAAGAGATTTATCTCTTCGAAAGGAACCACAGATCTACCTTAGACTCACAACGAATCAACAGACCACATCCCTAATCTCAACACATGAGAACTCTATGTATCACTCAAGAACAGATCAGTATTCGGTGATTAATAACCTTCCAAAACATTGAATGAGATGATCGATTACAGAAAATAGGGAAGACTGAAAATCCTAACTCGAGAGAGAGACGAAGAACTCTCTCGAACCTCACTCAAGATTCATACCAAATGAAAAGTCATTGAGCCAAATGAACAGTCAGTCCCATTTATATCACCAACATGTAAACCCTTCATCCAACGGTGGGAATTAAGCCAGATGTTATCATCAGGCAGAATTCCATTTATAAAAGCGTGTTATCGAAACACGTTTTGGTGGCTGAAAATATGGGAGCACCAATTACATGGTTCGAGTCACAACAATTTCCACCTTGCTTCCATATTTTCTGCTTTAGTGTAGCCAGGAGACAATATCACTTTCTCCTTTCATTTGCTCCAAGCACCTGCAATTTTATCATATAGTATCAATAGATAATGACTTCAAACAGTTTTTAAATTTGTTCAAAGGTATTATCTTTGTTCCCATATCAGATGGGTTATATTGAGTAGGTACTTTACCAATTTTCAAAACACCTTTTGAAATAATGTCTCTAATAAAGTGATACTTAATGTCTATGTGTTTAGTCCTATTATGATACATGGGATTTTTACTAAGATGTGTAGCATTTTGATTATGAGAATATAATGTTGCATTTTCATCAACAATTCCAAGTTCCTTAAGTAATCCACTTAACCATATTCCTTTTTTAAAAGCATAAGAAGCAGAAATGTATTCTGCTTCAGTTGAGGATAAGGCTAAAATCTTTTGTAATTATGATTTCCAACTAATTACTGTACCATATAAGGTTAAGAAATAGGATGAGGTTGATTTCCTATTGTCCCTATTTTCAGCAAAATCAAAATCAGTAAATCCCTTTAAGGTTACTCTTTCTTTGTTCATTTTAAACACAAGACCCAAGTTTGCAGTACCCTTTAAATATCTTAAGAGCCATTTTAAAGCATTCCAGTGTTCTTCCCCAGGATTACTCATAAACCTACTTAATATGCTAATGCTGAAAGCAATATCAGGTCTAGTACAGACCATTAAGTACATCACAGAACCAATAACATTTGCATAAGGTATTTTTGACATTTTATCAGATTCTTCAAAAGTTTTGGGACAAAGATCAGAGGTTAGCTTAAAATGATTTGTAAGAGGCAGAGACACAGATTTACAATCAAACATGTTGAATTTTTTCAAAATCTTTATCACGTAATCATATTGATTCAAAAATAACATATTTTTCTCTTTATCTTTATAAATTTGCATGCCAAGAATCTTTTTAGCATTTCCAAGATCTTTCATATCAAATTTAGATTTAAGTTGTTGCTTAATATATTCAATTTCAAATTTATCACAACTTGCAAGCAACATATCATCCACATAAAGTACAAAATAAAGAGAAAGTTTACCTCCTTTACCTCTACAATACAAACATGTATCATAATTGCTCTTTTGAAAACTAAGTTTCAATACAAAAGAACTAAATCTTTTATACCACTCCCTAGGAGCCTGTTTCAGGCCATATAGGGACTTCTTTAACAGGCAGACAACATTTTTTGGATTTCCTTTCACAAACCCAACTGGTTGTTTCATATAAATTGTTTCGTCCAGATCTCCATAAAGAAAAGCAGTCTTAACATCCAACTGGTCAAGTTCCCATCCAAATTGAGCAACTAAGGCAAGTAAACATCTAATTGTAGTATATTTAGCTACAGGAGAAAAAATTTCAGTGTAATCTACACCTTCCTTTTGTGTAAACCCCTTTGCAACCAACCTAACTTTATACCTAAGACTATTATTTCCTCCTTCACCTTCTTTTATTTTATAAATCCATTTACAGTCTATAAGCTTTTGACCTTTTGGCTTCTCAACTAACTTCCAGGTTTTATTTTTAAGAAGTGAATTCATTTCATCTTCCATAGCTGTTATCCAATGCTTAGAGTCTTTGCAGTTTATGGCATCTTCATAAATATTAGGATCATTTTCAGTTTGTTCCTGATAGGTAAATAATGAAACAAAATCATATGAATCATATCTTGTAGGTGGTCTAGTCTGCATTTTTCCCTATCTCTAGTTAATTGATATTCTTCAATGGGATAGGTTGGATTTTCAAACTGGTCATTGGTGTTATTATGCAAATTATTTTTAGTTTCATTTTCAGTATCATTTTCTGCATTAATCATTTCTGGTTCAACAGGTACATTTTTTTCCTTTCAATCTTAGGAGGCTCCACCTCAATTTGTACATCATCAGAAGTCAAATTGTGTTTTCCTTCTAAGCATGGCATAAGGGATTCATTAAAGACAACATCTCTCCTAACAATCACCCTATACCCTTTCTCACTTTTAACCATAATCTACACCCCTTCACATTTTCACCATAACCCAAGAAAACACATTTAAGTGATCTAGGTTCTAGTTTTTCAATATTTTGGTGTGCATAAGCAGCACATCCAAAAGTTTTTAAATGTGAATAATCAACAGAATTTTTAGTCCATACTGATTCAGGTACTTCAAAGTTTAGGGCAGAAGTGGATGTTCTATTAACTAAATATGCAGCTGTTTTTACAGCTTCATCCCAGAATATTTTTGGCAAACCAGAACTTAACAGCATGCATCTAACTTTATTTAGTAAAGTTCTGTTCATTCTTTCAACTATGTCATTTTGTTGAGGTGTATAGGTGACAGTGAGATGTCTTAATATACATGTTCTTTACAGAAGTTATTGAACTCATGTTTACAAAACTCCAGATCATTATCTGTTCTTAATATTTTTTATCTTGTGATCGATTTGATTTTCTATTTGTGTTTTCCAGTCCCTAAAGACTGAAAAAGTCTCATCTTTAGATTTTAATAAGAAAATCCAGATTTTTCTTGAAAAATCATCAATGATCAAAAGATAATATTTAAACCCTGAAAGAGTGCACATAGATGCAGGTCCCCACAAATCAGCATGTAAGTACTCAAGAGTTTGTTTAGTTTTATGAGTTCCAGGTAGAAAAGAAAGCTTAACCTGTTTGCCAATCATACATTGTTCACAATGACCAATATCACCAAGATTTTGTTTACCAAAAATTCCTTTGTTTTCTAAATCCTTTAGACTTTTCTTGCCAATATGGCCAAATCTTTCATGCCATAATTTTGCAAAAGAAAAATTTTCAGTTAAAGCAGTAGTAGTTAGGCCAAGTAAAGGTTTAGCTTTAAGGAAATAAAGTCCATGTCTCTTAGGGGTACTAATGACTAAATCATTGCCCCTAAGAATTTCAATATGTCCATGACCCAGTTTTATGTTGAACTCCATATCATCCAACATTCCTATAGACACTAGATTCCTCTCAAGTTCAGGCACATATCTAGTTCCTTTTAGAAATAGGACCTTTCCATTATCCAGTAGCAATTTTATAGTACCTATTCCATTTACTTTACATGTCATATTGCTAACCATTATGACTTGCCCACCAGTAGTTTTTCAATTTCAAGAAAACTATTCTTATTAGGGCACATATGAAAAGAATAGTCTGAATCAAGGATCCATTCATCACTTTGTCTCTATTCCCCATTAACAAGGACTAGGCCATCTTCATTTTTATCTTTGTTATACACTAAGGCTGCATCCCCAACATCATATTTCTTTTCTTTTGTCTCATTTTTCTTTTTATAATAGTCTTTAATAAAATGACCCTGTTTTCCACAATAAAAATATTTCTTTCCTTTGGCCTTGTTTTTAGACTTTCCCTTATCACCCCATTTTTGCCTATTTTCAAATGAAGCTTTAGAGTGATAGTTAGGTTTACTAAAGCCTTTTCATTTTGCCATTAAAGTATCCCCACTATGACTTTCTTTTGTGTCAGATTTTATTTCAAGGGCCTTATTTTTTAGGGCATTAATTATTATTTCTGTAGTAAGTTCATCCCTGCCATATTCTAAGGCAACCTTGATATCTTTATATCTCTCACTAATGGAGTTCAACAAGATCACAGCCAACTGATCTTGTGAAAGTTTTTCATCACAGTTGTTAAGATTTTGAATCAATTTTGTAAACGTATTTAAGTTTTCATCCAAATTAGTGGAAGGGTCCATTTTAAAAGAAAAGAGTTGTTTTAACATATAACATTTGTTAGGGATGGTTTTTGTCACATACTGTTTTTCCAATTTAGTCCACAGTTCAGAAGCTGTCTTAGTTTCACCAATAGTTCTTATAACATTCTCAGACAGATACAAGAAAATAGTACTCCAGGCTATCTCTTCTAATTCAGCCTTCCTAGTAGGGTTCATGTCTTGAGGCCAAGTGTCATCTAAAGCCCTAACACATCTCATTTGCATCAGTATAGCGTTCATCTTTTGACTCCACATATTGTAATCAATTTTTCCATCGAATCGTGCAACCTCAAATTTAGTAGTAGCCATTTTCTTATGTCACACAAAATGTACAAGTTCGAGTCAAAAGATCACACCACAGCATACACTGGACACACAACAATGTCAACAAGATTCACAGTATTGTTCACAGTATTGATCAAGAAGACACAACACATGCAAGTTTAAAACATATATGTAATATGCCGATCAAATCAAGGACTCAACAACAGAGGGCAGAAATTTTAGGTTTCTGAGAAGTTCCTCTTTCAAGATCCGCTAGATACACCCCCAAATCGGGCTTTTCTCAAATTCCCAAGACCTCACAGGAGTCTTTGGACAAAGACCAGACACTAGTGGGTAATTGGTATATGGTTAATCAAGGGAAGAAAATCGAAACACACAATTTCATAAAGTAAACTTTACAAATTTAAAAAGATCTCATCCAACGAGTATAAAATACTCAAGGTCCTTCAATACTGTTTAAAAACAGTTCCAAAAATTTCAGATCTGCAGCAAATCGATCCTTTCTTCAAAGATCCAAGTATCTTGCCCCAGTTCAACGCTCTGATACCACTGAAAGGGGGCCAAAAACCCACACAATTAATTGCAAGATACAATTGAGCTTAAAACAGAAATTAAACTTGCAGAAAATAAAGAACACAATAAGATTTTTCGGCCGAAACCCCAGAGGATCAGTGACAAGCACCTAATCCCCTGTTGAGCATCCAATTGAAGTGGATATTGCTCGATTGCACTAAAGCCCCAAAAAAGGCAATCGAAAGTTATAGAGTTCAATCACTATAAGAATACACAAGAAAGAGACTTATTTCTTCGAAAGGAACTATAGATCTGCCTTAGATTCACAAAGAATCAACAGACCACATCCCTAATCTCAACACATGAGAACTCTAGGTATCACTCAAGAATAGATCAGTATTCAGTGATTAATAACCTTCCAAAACATTGAATGAGATGATCGATTACAGAAAATAGGGAAGATTGAAAACCTAACTCGAGAGAGAGACGAAGAACTCTCTCGAAACTCACTCAAGATTCATACCAAATGAAAAGTCATTGAGCCAAATGAACAGTCAATCCCATTTAAATCACCAGCATGTAAACCCTTCATCCAATGGTGGGAATTAAGCCAAGTGTCATCATCAGGCAGAATGCCATTTATAAAATCGTGTTATCGAAACACGTTTTGGTGGCTGAAAATATGGGAGCACCAATTACATGGTTCGAGTCACAACAATTGCGATTTGAGCAACATCAGCACACCATTCATCATCCAGTAATACGCTGCAAATTGAAATATTTTTAGATGTTTTAGGAACATAAAAGCATAACTGACTTAACGTGATCTAGACATTGAAGTTTTCGCGGCAACTTAGTTTCATATTCTTGTCTGAAGAACTTGCCTATACAGATCTATTTTACTTGCAGCAACTGCTTCAATAGCTCTGCCTATGATATCTTGATCACTTGATGTAGATTTTGAGATAAGTACCGCCCTTGATCTGAAAAAAGTATAACAAACTCCNTGACATAAAGGGGTAAAATTAAAAAATACATAGTTACTCTTAGCTTATTGGGGAATATTTTATAGAAAACAAACTTTAGAGCAGATTTCTGTATTCCGAAATTATAAAATAAATAAATAAATAAAAAATCATTGTGCTAGCTACTAACTAGTTCAAATGAACTCTAAATTTTTTACGCAAATAGTTAAATTTCACGACATATTCTCCAATCAAACAACAATCATATTGTTGCATAATTCTTATTTTTCTCTAGCTTTTGGCATTTGTTACAATTTTACTCTCTTAAACATTTCTTTTAGTTTCCTTATTCGATTTTCAACGTTGATATTTAAATTAAATTAAAAGTTGATGTCAAAACTCAAAAGCATCTATCCTGAAAACCGTACATTTTACTCTCTTAAACATCTCTCTCTCTCTCTCTCTCTCTCTCTCTCTCTCTCTCTCTCTCTCTCTCTCTTATTATGGAATATTAATGCTATTCGCCTTATACACACACACACACACACACACACTTTTATATAGATACAATAATAATAACAATTTTTGTTTATTTTAACTTTTCTCATGGCCTTGCAGGCTCCTACATATTTTCACTCTTGAATTCTTAGCCATGGAATATGATGGCAAATATTGTCCAAGAGGAAGAAGGTGAGATTACATTTCGATACTGGTACTTTGATAAACAAATACTGGACGACACTCGATAATACTAAAAATAAAATAAAATAAGTTCAAAACTCAATTATTGTATCATATATTGTCCAATACTGTATACTAAATGAACTATACTACCTTAGCAGCCCATTACTTTGTTCGGTTTAATCCGAGGTTTCTCCACAACGGTGCCATCATTTCCAGCAAGTGCTCTGTATTTATCTTTCCTTGTAAAGTTGGTGCACTCGTAGGAAAGAGTTGCGGCTATAACCCTCTGAATGTAATTTGCAACTTCATGGCTAGATTTTCCCAAACCGCACGTCAATTCTTTTGGAAGCTTGTTCAAGAATGTCACTTCGTATGCTGGACTAGGGTTCATGAAGAAGTAAAATGGGTCCATCCCTTTCCAACCTCGAGCTGTGGTTCCATGAAACATGCTCATCCGGTTCACCATCGCCACCGGCACGAGTTCGTCGGTTAGTTCGGCGAACAATGACGAAAATCGGAGGAGAAAAGGTTCCCGACAGGTGGTTCCTTCTGGACATATGGCTAGGTCACCTGTCGAATATATAATTTAAAGAAATAAAATTTTCCTTTTTTCTAAGGACTTTAGCTTTTTAATAGGGAATTCAACGACAAGGTTTTGAATTTTCATTGATATAGAACCCATTTGGTACGCATTAATGTAAAAATGAGAATGAAAAATATAGTTGTTATGGGTCTCATACAAGAGATAGAAATTCAAATTTGGTGACTTGATGTGATGGATAACGGTCATATTTTTCATTTTAATAAAGAAAAAATACGAAACAAACATGGGCATAATTTGATAAATACGAGCATATTTGGGCTAAGCTTAAGAAGTTAATTGTCGAAAAGTAAGTTTTGATAGTAAATAAATGAACTCTTAAAATTATATTTGACAAAATAAGAATTAATTTTAAATGGTACGTTGGGCACGAAGATTAGATAGTTTTGTGTACGTTATTTAAAATATAATAAAATATATTATTTAGGCTCCATTTGGTACACATTAATGTAAAAATGAGAATGAAAAAAATAGCTGTTATGAGTCCCACACAAGAAATAAAATTCAAATTTGGTGACTTAATGTGATGAATAACGATCATTTTTTTCATTTTAATGAAGAAAAAATGAAAACAAATATGACTTATTATATTGTTCCACTTCAATTTTATTCGATACTTTATCCAAAACATGAATTTAGGATTTTACAACATTACCTTCCTCTAGCAGTTTCTTGATCATGGATGCATCGGTGGCACGGTCTCGAGAAAGTCTGACGGTTTTGATTGGCGAGATGATCTCGGAGAGACGGGAGACGGAGTAAGTGACGGCAGGGATGGGGCGGCCGAGGGCGGTGGAGAGGAAAATTGGGTCAAGGAGGGTTCTGTGGGAGCAAATGAAGAGAACACCGGATTGGCCGCTAGATTTCTTGACAGGCGGCGGAGGGGTGCCTTTAACGGTGACACGAACGCCGAGCGCCCAGAAAGCGTAGTATACCATGCGCATTGGGAGTAGCGAACCGGCAGCAATACGGAGGCAAGCAAGGAGAAAACCCACCGGAATCCAGAGAATGATTATTAGAGCCATGAACGGCGTTGGCTTCTGTACGAGACGGCCGTCATGGAAAATGATGGGTTTTGGAAGCTTATCAACTGTTACAGCCTGTGCTTCTGGTTTGGGTGGTACAATGTAACCCTCCTGTAAATTTCAAACTTTGGTTACTCCCTATATATTGCAAATTTAGGTCAAGAATTCAATAGATCAAGCGTATTTGATATTGCTACTTCTTTTCTACAGAGTTAAACATAATTTGTGGAGATAGCCAAGGCCAGCCTTGAGATTTTAAGGGCTTTAGAGCAATTTCAAATATAGAATCCTATATATATGTAAAACTACATGTAAAAAATAAAAAACAAATAATTTTTTTGGGACCCTCATCAAAGTGTGACCTTATGTCATTGCTTACCTCACCTATAGTTAGAGCGAGCATAGGAGATAGCTCAGATTCAATTGAAATTTTATCACATATAATTTTTTGGACAATAGTGATAATTGAAAAAGGTATGTGCTTATTTAAGTGCATGTTTATCAATGTTTACAATTGATTATAAATAGCGAGTCTCAAATATGTGGTTATAAAAATAGAGTTTCATCAATTTGTAAGCATTTATAAACTTTGACAATCTTTTTGTAGGGTGGTCTCTTATGTAGTCAATGTAATAAAAGCTCATCAATAACTCATCACTCATTAACTTAAAGTGAAAGTCTCATCATCTTTATCCATGAAAATTATCCCATGTATGAAATGTGTTGCCTATAATTAAGGGTGTTGTAAGTAAAATTTTAGTAAAATAAATGAGGTAGTTCCACATAGTTGAAAGTACAATCTAAATAAGTAACAGTCGTCTCTTTCATACTTGAAGCTATTAGACTTGATGTTAATATGACATTAGAGCGAGAAAAAAAGTAATCGAGTTGAAGTCTTGCCCATACATGAAAAAATGTGCAAGTGTTAGATCTTAGATAAAAAATGAACTCTGTTGCATGTGAATGATTGTGTTGTGGACCGACTTTGAACGAATACATGTAGCTCCTCTGTAAGAACTTAAAATTTGTAGATGAGTTGCTAATTGACATACACCATTGTAGCTAATTCTAAAATAGATCAAGGGCAGAAACAAGATCGAAATTTTTTTTCGGGCTTGAATAGCATACCTTGCACAAATTCATGAAGGGATAATCAGTGTGTCTATCACCCAATCCAATCTCTGGTTTTGTCTCTCCAAAAGCCTTCTTAAGAGCATAGCTTTTATTCTTCCCAAC